GTGGACAGTAAAATTGAAATTGAATATGTATTTTACCACGCCGGGTGATCTATTGTCTTGTGTTTGCTTTTGTTTTTGTGTTTTGCTTCTTTTTACAAAGGGCAATTGTAGTATTTTTGTTTTCTGTGATTTCAATATGTGCTCGTTCTGTGGCATTGTTCACTGATGACAGTATGCAAGATCTGACCTTATGACGAATGAAATGATTTGTGAGATCTCAGCAAAATTGCATTGTAGCAGTAATTTTCTATCAGGTGGGTTGTTTAAATCCCCCCAAAGCTGTGCTTGCCTAATACCCAGATGTTCACAGGGGAGCACCTTGCATATCTTGGAGTCTGTGGGGAACTACATGCAGCTATGTGTACATGTACAGTATATGCATCTGTGCATGTATAGGCCTAGTACCTGTTCTGGTGCAAACACACATACACACACACACAAGATGAAGCACTCAGTGCAAGTTGTGCTGATACTGCCCTGCAACTGATGACTAAAATGTTACACATCATTAACCAATTTTTTGGACAGCACCCTGGCTGTCCTGCCAGGGACCCAGGAAAAGCAGAAATTGCTGGCATGGTTCATTTAACGCAGTTAGAATCCTTTTTAGATATCGCCATATATATTGGATATTTCATCAGAATGTCATTTTAACATGGACGTGTGGATATTGCAGGCTCAGAGTAAAGAAATGTAACATGTGTGCTCTTGTAAAATTCAATTTGATTAGAAATGTTGTGCTTCCCGATGGGTACGCCAGTTAAATGGAGCATACCGGTAGGTGTGACATATATACCAGCTGGGTTGTGTGGAATTATACATTCTGCAGCCTGAGCATTGGGAGTGGCATAAATTAACGATTCTGTCTAGTAATTATGCATGCTCTTTGCTTTGAAGCATTGCCTGGTAGGCTGGTACTGGCTAAGATTGAGGTTGTTTATCTTAAACTGTGAAAATATGCACAGTTGAAGGGCATGTCCAGGCCCTGTATGGTTTTGTTGGGAGGGGAATAAATAGAAAATGTAGTAATTAACTCCCTATGCAAAGATGCAACAAACTTGTCCTGTCAGTCAAATTCAGTCAAATGACCCCTTGTGTCTCTGTACTGTGGCAAATCAAGTGAAAATAATTTTTGACTGCGACTAATACAGCAAAAAGAGGGTTTAATGACAATTGATTTCCAGAAGTTGTGGGTTTTGTCAAATTTTGTTCTTATCTTCAAGATGTTATCTTCAAATCTTGCAAAATTTTTTGGAGAGTTTACAAAATATAAAACAATTTTTAGGGAAACTCAATTACGATAGCAAGTCTAAATATTTTTGTAACCCAGACATAATGTTTCCTGCAAACCATCTGCATTTTACAGATAGTGTGTGGGAAAAAAATCTAGAGCATGGAAAAAGAACTTTTGTCGGAAAAGCTGACCCAGATTTGTATATTCACTGTGTATTTACATTTGTACCCCTTAGAGAGGGTTTTTCAGTCGGACATTGCCTGAGTATCTCCCACAGGGCTTTTGAATTGGCAATGCACTACCAACATGTTATTGGGAAAGAATGGGTATGAAATTGAACAAAGCAGTAAGGTTTGACTTGGTATCCTCTTTCAATTTCATGTTGATTCAAACTGACCTAGTCAACTTTTCAGTGAGATCTGTTTAGAAAATGGTGTTTAGAAATATAATTCCCAACTGTCAGCACAAGATTTATGAAAATGAAGTTCCAGAAATGAGTCAAAGTACCTACCCAGAGCTCAGATTTTGACTTGTTGAGGGCACTGCCATTTGGGCCTCAAGAGATGGGACACTGTTAAGGGGTACCGTGGCCAATAACGGGCAACAAGGCCAAAATTTCTACTAAGGAAAGGCACTGAGGCAAAGGTGTAACATATTCTGCCAAAAAAGGTTAGATAAACAAAAAGGGTGTTTTATGTACTTGAGCTGTAATCACTATTTAAATATTTTATAACCCATGACAAAGCATCATATTACCGGATGGAACAGGCATATTTTCTGACAAAGGATTTCTTAATGTAGAAAAATTAATTTGTAAAAAGAACTCCAGTGAATTTAATGATATATTAAACAAAGAGTACATGTTTCGTTTCAATTTTGACGCATGTTTTTCGACTGCATGGCGCGAGCTTACCAACCACATCCCCTGCATTGCAGGCAAGCCTTATCACGCAGTACGGCACCTCGGCATGGCACACCAGATCTACCAGCTTGGCTGGCCTAGCCGTATGTGTATCCATGTGGCATGAAGACAATCATGTACCGGTAGACCGCAACACAAAATACATTCATATGAAAGTGAAGTCTGAAACCTACTGGAAATATAGGTATTTTTTCAAGGGGCACCACTGCCAGGAAGAATGGGGCACATGGCCAGTTTTGGCCGTGTGGACAAAGTGGAATTTTTCTGGGCACTGCGACCAGTTGTAAGGGCACTGACTGCTAAGGCGTTAGTGGCTGTGGTGAAATTTGAGCAGTGTGTACATGTATATATTGCATCATATTGGAAGATTTGTGCATTAGATTTGCACTCGCAAATGCCGATTCTGAGACATCTCCCAAAGACTTTGCTGTACCCTCAAGACCATGTACCAGTTTGAAAAGCAAGTGACATTGAAGTGGCTGTTAATCAACCCTTACTATGCTAAATCCAACAAGATGAATATGATGTTGCATACACTTGTGGGGGTTAGGGTTTTAAAAGCTCCTGGGAGTCAAGTTCACAACAGTTCCAAATACACAACTTGGTTGACCAAACCAAATATACATGATAAAGTGCATGTATGGGTTATGTGAACCTGCTCACATGTAAAACATCTGGCATTTGTGTTCCTGATAAAAGACAGGCCATCTATAAACAAGGGTTTATTGTGTATAGGGAAGTGTGTGACATATTTTTTCATTATTTTTTATTGTGCACTATGCCAGTAGTACACACTGATCATAAAGTGGTCACACTTGGTATAGAATGCGTTAACAGGATATGGATGGCTGAGAAGGTGGACGCTGAAATGATTTCATAAGCAGCGAATGCGTACACACGAGCACAAGACATTTTCAACAAGCAGGTCATGTGCGTTTGTATATGATTGCTGCTGTCGTGAGACACGTCAGCAGACATGAAACATCTTGCGGTGTGAAATTTGCACTGCAGAGTTGACGTGCAGGTAGTCAGTTTCCCTCCAGTTTGCAAGTTGTCCTGTATTTTGTTTATCAATTTGGAAAGGACATCAAAGCTTAAGGCTGAGATGGATGCAAAGGTTATGTGGTAAAGTGTTTACGTTCATATGCCAACACTGACTAGGGAATTAGGTATGAGCTTATGTGCATAGGCATCTTGCTTGAAGGAGTTTATTGACCTTTTTTTCATTTTATAGTTCAGTTCTTCAGAAGTTGTTTGTTCATGAGTTTTTAATTCATTTTGATTGGCCATTTTCTTTGGTAATGGTGTGTAACCTCCTGGGAGCTAATGGGCAAGTTGTAAAAACGTGTCACAGGGACTCCAATGCATGGAATTGGTCTGTGCTTCACGTTTATGGGCTGTTGGTTGCTGTGCATTTATAGGCATGCTCAAATTGATCAGGCTAATGATCAGTAATGAAATCATTGCCATGGAACTCAAGTACCCTTTGGAAGGGAGCTTGTATGGTCATTCGTGGTGATTCCAAATGTCAGTAACTGCAGAAATACAGGTTCATCTACATGCATCAGAAGGAGAAGGGGGAGGGAGAGATGGGGGGTAATTGGCTTACTGACATGTGTGACAAGGCATTCTTAATTCATTCTCATGGACTGTTGGTTGATGTGAAATTGTTGGCACTCAGAAATTTACTCTGGACTGAAGTGCTTGATAGAGTCTTGGGTACAGGTTATAAATTTTGTTGAGGTAAATAATTTATGCGGTTGGAGATACTGAGGCAAGAACTATCTGCAGTGCATTGTACAGTCAGACTGTTTGCCTCGTTCCCATGGAACAGCCATTTGTTAAGTCATTCAAGCTTATCTTCCATTAGTTGCTGCACATTTAAAGGTCCTGTACATGTACAGTTAAATAATGGCCATTGATAATGTTCATAAACTGGAACGCTCAGATGGAACTCTTTTACAGTACGTTGTTGGTTCTTAGGGACAGCCATTTTGCAACTGCAGTTACAGATGTATTCTGGTATTTATACACTGTAACATGTGGAGGGACCTGACTGAAATATACATGTATACTGGTTCTTATTTAATCATGCCGTCTGATTATCCGTTTTTAAAAAGTGTGCCAAAGAAATATCTTGTTGAGGGTCTCAGGATAAGTGTACAGTAATTCGTCGGTTT